AAGTTGGCAATATTTAAAGAGTCGATTGTGACACCAAAATTTATTTCCGAGTCTGCAAAAATGAGAAAGAGGAATAGACAGAGTCTCTCCAACCTTGCCAGGTGATGAACATCCTCGCTACGCTGAAAGGTTTTTCTGTGAGTATAGTGAAATGACTACAAGCCAAACAACAATTTATCTATTGGCAAATAAATATGTGTCCGCACACGCACCCACTTATACCCACACATGTGTATGGGTGTATTGTACAATAGGTACGCATGTATGTACTATTTCGGGCATTTTGTATGAAAGTGTTTGTTCTGTTCTTACAAGCAAATGGATAAGTCCAGTTATAAAAAAACAATATTGGTGGAGTACATAATATACACATAAATATATAAAACCATATATATGAGATAATGTATTGTTTTTCGATACGGAGACTAGCGGTATTCCATCCCGAACATTAATAGGAATGTGTACAAGTAGTTACGCGTAGATGCCGTGCATGTGAGCACACGCCGTTCTTAAAAGGCATTTGTGACAACATTTGTATTTGAACGCTGTACGCCATTCGTATCTGACAACAAGAACAACCGAATACTAGAAATGGCAAAAATGTATCTGGAAAATACAAAATTTGTTGCTTGTGGTTAAATGTTGTACATACAAGTACGTATGAATGGTTGTATGGATGCCTGTATGGTTAGTACACTACATACCCACTTTGTTAGGCATCTGGACACCACCACCAGAAATGTTACTCATCATGACGACAATGTCTACTTCTGCTGTAACGGCGACTGTGCTTTGGGGGAGCTCCAGAAGGCAGTTTAGAAAGAGCGCATGTCTAACACATGAAGGGAATATTAAACAATGGTCTCCTGCAAACAGACTTCAGGCCTTACACATCGCCCATCGAACAGCCCGTGATGGTTCAACCACCCAGCCAGAATTACCACCCATGGAATGAGAGGACGAGTATTCGCAACCAACACCTTTCTTTGGGTTCTTGTTCTTCAAAATGTATGCACGAGTATCTCTTGATGTTTGCTGGTTGGCCTGTGTGCGCACGTTTGTGAGTGTATCAGTTTATGTGTACATACTGGTATGTGTGCATGGCAGTATTCATATTGAAATTAAAGTGATAGACGCCATTGACAAAATATAGCAAAAACAACAACAGCTAGGCAGCCATCAACAGCACAAAGAGATAAGTTCAGTTAAGCTGAATTGATTTTCATGGGGATTTATCTTCATTGCTTCTCCTCTCGTTGATCGGCCTTCAAGGGGAGATATATTTTAAAGTTGTAGTGCATAGTTCTAAATATGATTTAATGGTTTATGATATTTAATTAAACATCATGTTTCAAAAATATTGACAAAATTTTAAATTTAGTTATTTATATTTTCATATTTGAAAAATATTGTAAAAAGTTTCAGAAATGTGTTTCCAGAAAGTGAATGCATTTATTGCCAATGCAGATCCTTGAGGCGAAAATCGTATTTGGAAAATACCGTTCATTTTCCATATCCATTTCCACAACACAAAATGCACCACAAGCTTGAATTACTGTCTGGCTGGATTAAAAATTAATACATTTTGCCGCACTACTTAATTTTAGCGAATTGTATATTCATTCAACATTGACAATTATTATAAGTGCATGCCTAACATTCGTATTTGCATAATATACAACAATGTTGTGAGGCTATTATAAATTTGTTATGGTCCAAATGTTTAAAGTGTGTTATATCTCGAAACGACAAAACGTTTCGAGAAATAACACACTTTAAAAATGCCATTTTTGCTTCTTGTAGCTAAAGGGGAAAAAGACTATTTTGAAATTGTCAAATATTTCAGGAAAGTAAAACATTACTGAACGGTTTAATATATATTTTTTGCATTTTTTTAACAATGTGCCTACACATTGGTATCATCCTTACTTAACGAATTGAAATTAGTTTCCCGACAGCAACACATATGGACTAACAAGACGGCCAAACAAAGCGAACAATTCATTAGACCCGCTTATCAGTGGAACCTATAACTACTTCAAATCCAATTTGTAATCACAAATTGTCATTTGTATAGGGTAATAGGCTCTTCAGGGTGCTTATCTCTAGCATGTCCGTTTCACACGACCAATGCAGTGACACCTTTAGGGACTGGGGTTGTCAATTTGAGTACTGATATGTATTTGTTGTTTGATAACAGCGAACTAGCAACGGTCATACATATCATACAAGTTGTAAATTTATTGCATTCTCATTAATACTTAGGAAAAGCAAACAAAAACTGTTTTGAGTAAGGTTCGGACAAAGAAGATGCAACCTTCATATGCACTCGCTTCGCGCCGTTATCTTGTCGTTTTCTGCATTGGTTTGGATCGATACTCTGCCAGTTCGTGATAAGTTTATTTGTCCATGATAGGTTATCGGCCGAAAGTGGCTTCTCTTTCATAGACGTGTAGAGTAAGGGTGTTTCGTATTCCTTTCTGATGATTAATTTGGTGGCGAGATAGTAGCTAATGTTGAATGCCTTGTTAAAGGTCAGTGGTACATCCCTCACTCTTAGCAAAGAAGCAAACTGCACTTTTGAATCAAAACAATTGTTGTTGATAACAAATATTTGTAGCGACTTTCATAATAGCGATTTGTCGTATAAATACGACTATGTCCAATTTTTGACACGTCTACGCCAACCCTAATAACGGTGAATGTAACCAAAATACGTCGAACATTCTCATCGTTATATTGTTGAACGTTCGTTTTACCCAAATACGCAAAGACCCTACCATTATGTTTATCAATCGGAAATGGCAAAAGTGATTGAGAGTTTTTTAATGTTTGAAAAATGTGGTAACTTTTTCTAAGATTGAAATTCTAGTTTCAAGGAACAACAGAAAAAAATTCAGTAATGACAATTTTAAACTTTAGTAGCCAGTAGATTTCTGTAATAAATAACTTATCATTCGATATGAGTTACGTCAATATGCGAAAAAGTACAAATTGAACAATTTGAACTATGTTCTATAAATGAGAATTGAATGAGAAATAGCAGCGTTACTTTTTCTTCTCCACTATGTTCAGTACGGCCGTATTATCCAAATACGTATAATCCATATGTCTACGAGATTTAAACAAATTCGAGGAACAAGATTGAAAAAAATTTGTTAAAAATTTTCATACTCTCATTGAAAGAATGACATTCTCTCAAAACGGTTTATTTTGTTATGGAATTGTGTTGTGCGAATTTTCGAAATCATCTTAGTGAACAGGCTATAAGTAATTACTAAATATTGTCTTTTTACACAAAATTTCAGTAGTAGAGTGTAAATTGAAAGAGCTATTTTGAAGTTTGTATTACTTAGTATTTAAATATCGTAAGGGGAAAATGTATTCAGTGAATAAAACGATAGATATGACTCATGTATTGTTCAACATTAGGCAATGTCGGATTTTTGTCTTACTATTTTAATGTTTGTCTTGCTCACAGCTCTCCAAATAAGCGACTGACTCAATATCCAGTATAATTTGGATCCAGGTTACAAATAAAATATGTTTATGGAATATGCCAGCCTCGGTTTGCAAAGAAAAACAAACGATTTATATAAAGAAGAATTTCTTAGTTCTTTGTTGTTGTTTTTTTTTTATTATTAAATTTTAACTAAAAGTAATTGTATTTTATTTTAATTTCAATTTTATGCTAGCCTTGTATAATTTGTATTTATTTCTTTTTTCGTACAATATTAACAACGAATGTGTGTGTGTGTTTGCCTTTCATCGATTTCTGTTGGAATGTTGTAACTGCTTATATTTATTTTTAAAAATGTGAATCGGTTAATTTAATGGAACAGAGTTCGTTCATTTCAATTGTTGGAGAGGGATTTTTAATAAAAAAATGTTGTATTTGTTATTGAATAATCATTGTATTTATTTAATTTTAAAATGTTTCCATATGTCTGTTTTTTTCTCTTGTTTCAATAAGCTTAGGATTGTAATAAAAATGTACATGTATATATTTATGTATGAGTCCTTTTATTTTCCAAATGTAATTAAAAATATTACTAATTACTTTATATATGATTAATTTTCGCTTAGACTAAATATTATATAATTTTTACACATTGTAGGATGATAACATTGGTTTAGACATTACAACAGGAATGTTTCTGAACTATAAAATAAAAAAAAAATATATATATGTTAAAAAAATAAAAATGCAATTATAAAATAATAAGGGCTGAAGATTCTTGTTTGGTTTGGATTTTGTTCTACAACTATTTGTTTTTTTTTTTGTGTGTGTTTTAATTCGAAGATAGACTTTGATTGATACGAACAGAAAAGATTGCACTTAACTCTATAAGACTATACAAAATTAATGCTACTATGGGTTTTATATGTATGTATTTATGTGTGTGTGTGGTTCTCTCGCCTATAGTATTTTTGATTGATGTGATTGTTTCATAGTTTCAGTGTAGAAAATAAAAATATTTCAACTCATGGCACGGCTATAGATTTAGTTTTAATGAGGATATACGATTTTGCTTGAATTTGTTGTTAATGTTCTTTGTACAAAACTTATAATATATTATTACTTTTTATTTTTTGTTTTTGTTTTGCTTAAAACTACATCACTTTTGATTGCTGAATTCCAAAAAGGCCAAAACGAAAGGCTTTTCGAAATTCATAGAAGAAATTATATTTTTCGTCATTAACAATTACATAAAAATAAGAAACGAAACGAATGGGAACTAAAAACTATTTACAGCGATTTATTTGATAGTGCGCTTGCGTATCTTTGAGATTTGTATGGTAAACTTTTCCAAAATTACCTTTGTGTTCGTCAAGCGCAAAGGCGCTAAATAACGCTAACAACCATCGAACCAAATGCTGGAGACACAACCGTATTGCAATATCTGCTTGTGTTAGCACCCATATTTACTAAGTGGTGGATTGTACATGGTCCTTTGGGGCCTCGTGCAAGTATCTTTAAATTGTTTCGAAGCGTCACCTTAGAGCAGATTTTGCAATGCCGCCGCTCCGTTCAGGCTTAGTGTGTGATTCCAATTCCGATACGATGTGGCTGCCGCGGCATATTGCTGGTAGTTACTGTAGAACTGCTGTTGCTGCTGGTGGTGGACCTGTTGTAAATGGTCGTCATTGAGATCGCTGGTGATATTGGAGGAATCCTCCTGCAGGTCACTTGGGGTCAGCTGGCTCTGTAACAGATTCGCATGATGCTGATGGTGGGCGGCAGCTGCCATTTTGCTGTTTAGGTAGGCTGCCGCTTTCAGTTTTTGATTGTAGAAGTTGACAGCTGCCGCTGTGGAAGTGGTGCTGTGGAGCTGCTGCGATTGGTTTTGATGGTGGTTGGAAGTGGTCGAGGAGGGAGTTACGGATTCGTTTTGGATCTGCTGTATTTGCTGTTGTTGGTGCTGTTGCTGGCTACTACTGGTACCTGTTGAGAAGATGCTACTGCTGGTGGTTGACGACGTGGTGCCCGTTGCCCCAATGCATGTGCCGGCGCTGTTGCTACCACTCGTGTTCAAGCTTGGAGCCGTATTACGCAGTAGCATCTGCTCCGCTCGTCCTTAAGCCAAGGGGTACTGGTGATGTCACAAGGTAGTCGTACCGGCTGGTGCATGGTAACCCAAACTTTGGTAATATGACTCTTGACCCAAGGCAGCATGTGAATTTGTCAGAGGACTTAGCGCATTGTAGCCAGCATATTGACTCATGTCGTACATTTTGATATCGGCCTTTGATTCAGTCGGCAATAGCCGATTGATGGAAAATGGATGGCTGGGTGGAGCATAGCCGGATGGTTCCTGCTTCAGGTGGTGCATGGATGAATGGTAATCGCTTATCAGGGAAGGGTGACAACGATTGACCATGCTGGTGATGCTGGATAGCTCTTCCTGCTGCAGCTGATGGTGGTGCTGGTGGTGTGATGGGGCATGCTGGGCCTGTTGCCCCAAGCATGCCAATTCGGCATTGGCATGCAACATGGCTAAGGCTTCGGCATCTTTACTATGTGCAGAGCTCAAGGCCCCACCAAGGCCGCTGTCTTTATGGTGGTGGTGGGACTGATGGTGGTCCAGCCGACTGTGGTGATGGTGATGATGCATGTGATGCGAATCGTCATGATCTTTCTTGCCCGGGGATGTGGCCTCTAAACTACTATGCGAGGGCGATTTGTGCATCTGGCGAATGGCTTCTTTCTTCTCGTCTTTAAAACGCTTCTGGCGTCTGAGATAACATCCGTTTTCAAACATATTACCCGAGTCAGGGTGCAAAGTCCAAAACGATCCCTTGCCAGGCTTATCGGGGGTGCGTGGAATCTTGACGAAGCAGTCGTTGAAAGATAATGAGTGTCTAATGGAATTCTGCCACCTTTGTTGGTTCTGTCTATAGAAAGGGAACAGATCCATTATAAACTGGTATATTTCGGATAAGGTTAGCATGCGCGTCGGATTATTCTGGATGGCCATGGTGATCAAGGAAATGTAGGAATATGGTGGTTTCGCATGTGTGTAGCTGCGTCTATATGTTGTGGGCTTCTCAACCCTGGACCTGTTCAACGAATTGGGGGAACCAGTGTCCAATTCCCGAGCACTGGCGGCTGCAGCCATGGACGAATATCCACCCATCGCAGCCATTGTAGACATCCCACCGCCCATGCAGTTGCCCATTTGCCCCAATGGTGATCCCATCGAGGCATAGCTCATGCTACTGGGCGTCATACAATTCTGTGCCATGGAATTCATAGCCGCCGCTGCGCCCATCGATCCTCCCATACTGGCCACAGCTGCTGCTGAATCTAAAACACTGGAACCAAAAGTAGCTGCAGTTTGCGGTGACACTGAAGACATACCTCCTCCGACGGGCATACTCATTGCATTCATGGAGTAGGGTGCACGAGCTAGAGGACTCATGTTGCCCCCATTGCCATTGTTCCCAATATTATTATTATTATTGTTGTTGTTAGGGTTCTGGGAGTTGGGATTTGACTGGTTGCCGCCGCCCCCTCCAACACCGCCTCCGCCGGCATTGTTCCCTCCACCTCCCGCGGAACCGCCGGACTGACTAGTCATGCTGATGGGTCCACTAGTCGGCGCCTCCGAGTACAGTTTCTGCATGATGTCTATCGTTGTTTGGTGGGGCGAGCCCTTAAGGAAGCTATTCAATAGTTGCGCCGTTATGATGCCGATTTATCCCAGTGCCGTAGTACCGTAGAATATGATAAGACCGAAACAAATAATAAAAAGGATCCGATCAAAACGTGTACACTTTACGTTGTCAAATTTCACTTAAATTGCAATTGGTGAGCATGAATGCTGCACGTCGATAAACATTTCTTTGTTTATAATTCAACTTTACAAAGTATATTTTACAAAAGTTATTTGAGTTTCCTTCTTCCTTTCACTGCACTGCGTATTCTTGTCTAGTCAATAGCTTCGTTTTGTTTTTATTCGAGTCGAGTCGATACGATTCGATTTTTTTCACGGCACTGCACTGCACTTCAATTCAATGTTGCTGTTTGTTTATTTGTTTAAATATTCAGATAGACGACTGATTTGTGTACTTCTATATTTGTATATATAGTAAATTAACTTAAACACTTTAATTCGGGCGACGGTTGGTGTGGCTTAGTTTGTTGTTTCTTGTTTCAATAAATAACACCCGTTGTGTTTCTTTGCTTTTGTGTTGTTTCTTGTTCTGTTGTTTTTTATGCGATTATTATTAAATACAAATTCTACAATGCGCTCGAGTACTCTTTGGCTTGAGCTCTTGAATTCGACTGTTTGCAGAGGGGAATGCCGTCATACTATTTGGCTTGCTAACAAATATTGTTCAGGCCGTGTTCAAGTGTAGTTTGCCGCGCGTTGGCTATGAGATGTTCGAGACGTGTGTGAAACAGTACGGCCAGTCAGCCCAGCTCACTCACAGTTTGCTTGCTGAACAAGGGCAAACCTTACTGGCAGGCAGGTACAAACACATCGCACTCACTCACTCTCGCACAGTCGACCGGTTTGCTAGGCAAGCATGGGCTATCAACCACCACCGCTGACACCATCATTTGCTGGATTGCCGCCACGGCATTGTTGTTGTCAAACTGGTTCTTCCAATAACAGAGCGCTCTGCAAATAAACCATTTATTTGTGGGAAATGCATTGGTGGACAACTACGCAACATCGACGTGGTAAGGAAAGAGACAACCGTACAGGGTGTTCCTATTAGGTGGGTGCTCTTCAATGGATGCAGAGAGCACGAAAATATAAAAATAATCAATATTTGATGCTACACTCTCGAATATCAAGAGACCTATCTCTCGTCCTCTCTTCTGGAGGCGGGGCTTCTGAGGAAGCAACAACGCCTTCTCTACGAGAGTCTTCCTAAAATATGACGTACTGAAGCAAGTCGTTAATGGTTGGTAACGACGTCAGGGCATTTCCGAGCAGGGAGGGAGGAACTATTTAGGGGATATTTAAGAATTAAATGTTTCTGCTGTAAAATTGTACATTTAACCCCCAATAAAAGAAAATACATACATACATATAAAAATTGTAAAATATTGTCTTTGTCATCAAACAAAAAAAAAAAAAAAAAAAAGAAAGAAAGAAAGAAAAAACTCTACTAAGGGCCACCAGCTGCTTTAAGTTCTGATTCTTTCCGTTTTCCCCTGTTTGTTTCAACTTAACCCAAAACAATTCATTCCAACTCCCCGGGACCATCACCACCAAGTTCTTTTGCTGCCACTGCAAATTCTGTTTGTTCAGAGAATGTGACAGCAAAAGTAAGCCAAAAACCATTGCCACTCGGCGCAATTTTCACAAAGAACTGGCATTCTTATGTCCGTGATCATCAGTAGACCGTTATACATATTTCACGTACATCATTCCGACCGAGCGCTGTCTTACGACCGAAAGGTATTTCATTAATATTAGTTCCCCCCGCAGACGTGGCCCCCTTGCGAAGAGAAAGCCTAGTTCTTCTCGTCCCCAACACTAAAAAATCTTTCTTTTGGTTTACATACTCAATTTTCATGGCTGAGGTTAAGGTACCGCAAACCCCAATTCAGGATAGAAGCAGACGTCGACGACGACAACAAAACATCCACTGTAAACGTCATTAGCGTCTGCCAGAACTTTTTGATGGCAAATATAAAATTGTTAATGGCAAATGTCAAATACTCGTCAAATCGATTTCATGTCACGCGACAGAACACAGCACATGTAGCGAATTACGAAATTAGTAAACGCAGTCAAAATTCAATTAATAAGTTCTTCGCGTAAAATTAATCTATTGAAAATTCCGCAACTCCGAAACTCATTGAAACTTCATAGAAAAATGTACTCAGCTTCAATGGAAACACATTTCTTGGAATTTTCAATTGATTACCAGCACAGGCCGTTTTTCGGTTTACCAAATGTGGATTAAACGGATTTTAATGATCGTTTTATTGCACGCTCGCCGAACTTCAACACACGTCATAAATAATTTAACGCCTCAACATTATCTCAAGCACTTATCCGCGAACCTATATTTCGATAATTTCATTATTAGAATTCATCGTACTTATAGTGTTCAGGAGCAATAAATTCAGGTAAAAGGATTTCATTATTGAATGAATTCAATTGTGTTTACCTGCGGTCGGTTTAAGTTTGCCGTTCGAAATCGCGTGCGAGTCCTAAAAGGAATTTCCACATTTATGAAGCCCGTTTTCGACAAATGTCCCCAGAAAAGTTTCATTCAATGCGTCGTGGTTACCTGCTTCTTTGTCGTCACTGGAATAAATACATCGGAGGAAGTTATTAGCTGAAGTTAATCCAAGTAACTAAAAAACCGTCAATATCCGTCAATTTATTATAGAACGGCTGAATGAATCTTTCATATCTGTAATCCACCCAATAAGTCTTCGAAGTGGATTATTTTTAAAACGAATTTGACCTATTTCCTAAAATTCACAGCACACATTTCAAGTCTGTATTGGACTGTTCCCGTACGCAGAAAGTGGTAAAACTTTTCCAATTTACAAAGAAAAAATCGATAAAAATATTTTGTGCGTAACAATTGTGCTCCGTCGGATGCAGGAAAATCTATAGTTCTTATTCGCAAAATACTTAAGAATTCTGACAGCTAAAATCATAAAAACATTCCAGTAGTGATTTCAGAACAGAATTAATTAAAAATTCTTACTGAAAAAAATGTACTCAGTAAAGATTTGCATCAAATATATTCGAGCAATAATTACCTTGAGAGATATTTGTAATAATTAAATTTTAATCGGTTAACTCAATTATTATAAATTTAAAGACTCGAAACTCAAACTGTAGCCATTTGTACAAATTATTAAACAGCACTGAGTTACCAAACATTCCTATAATTGAATATGAGGCCTGCCTGGATGTTATTCAACTCAACGCATTGCGTTTTAGTACGCAACGCAATGAATTAGGTATATATATATATTGGCACAAACATAAATGAGGTTCTTACGTATTGGAGTAATACGGACTTTTGTCCAAGCTATTTTAGTACGCAATGCAATGAATTAGATTCAATATATATATATATATATGTATATATAGTGAAATTATACATGCATATTGATGTATAATTTCACTGTGCAACAATATTTTGGCGCTGGAAAATTATTGGAAAATGATTATAATGATTAAACTGAATTTCGGGAACACGTGCAAATTCTAAATGCTTTAGTCGAAAACTACAAATATGTTGGTAACCTACAACATGTTTGTTTCGTCCAACCCAAGTTCACTTATCGTTGAGTGGTAAGTTTAGATGGATCTGCATAACAAGAATAAATAATTGATTGATAATAATTAAATGATCACTAATGGCTACCGCTAATTGATTGTCCGTTCTGCAGTTTCGTCTTTCGACTTGTTTTTTTCTGTGTAAATAAATCAAATAAATCTTGAACAACCCAAAATTATAAACGCAAACAGACACAAATGCCGTAAAACAAAACTACAGATTATTTATGACACAACAAACTTAGCTGATCGTAGCAGTCACAATTATCGGTGATAAGTGTTTGTTTGTTAACTGAATAACGATTTAGACGAGCCAGTCACGAAACATGGAACTAGCATTCTCCAACGAATTCTCTTGTGTTTCTCTCATAAAATAAATGTGCTTCAAGAAAGCTAATGGATTTATAGATTTAAGCAAATTTTCGTTTCGTACTGAAATTGACCTGGTCTCAGTTGGACAAATACCCGGTGGGTCAAGTTCAGCATAAAAACCAACATGGTCTTAATATGACCTATGTTGACTATATTAAGGTCTCTCTTTTCACTATCCGAACTATTGTTTAAGGTACTCAATGAACTATACTATGTGTATATTTCCCATACAAGTGCAAAATGAATGTTTGTGTATTCTAGTATATTTTCATTGGCATACATGAGTTTACGTCTATTGTTCTTCTTTAAGCGAACATGCTAAGATCTGCCCTACAATGTGCCCGAATGTAAAGAAATCACAGACAAAAATATTTACTTTAATTTGTGAATCTGTAATGCGGGCTAGGGGGTGGCAATGTCTGCAGTGTTGTTGGAGCCTTTTTCCTATAAATCGATAAAAACCATTGACTAGTCAGAAGTGCGCATATGCCAGACAGACGGTGGTTGGCGAATGATGGGCGCCACATAGTTCAGCGGTATATACAATGCTGGTGTAATTGTAACCTATAAAAAAGATTTTTATTGTTTTGTCTTTAGCAAGGAAAATGAAAATAAAATCATATTGACAAATATAAAGGCGACGTGAACATCACTCATGTATATTTAACAAGATTCTTGTCATTGCAAGAGGTGAAAGTAATTCCATTTACATTATATATGAAATCGGTATGGGATTTTTTGAATATATTCCCATCATCAGACTAAGTTCAAAGCTACCTTGACGTTTAAAGTGTAATCTACACTTAAAAATACAACAAAATATTCAACTACACGTACAAAAATATTCAACTTCCCCGCTATGGCAAAATGTTTTGTACGGTCGTATTACCCCAATACGTCGAATCTATATCTCTTAGCGAATTAAACAATATTATAAAATGTGTTTAAATATTTCACATGCTTATTTAAAAATTTATATTGTTTTATGTTTTGCTTGTATTATATTTGGGTTATACGGCCGTACACAACATTTTGCCATAGTGGGGAAGTTGAATATTTTTGTACGCCCCGTCGGTTAATAGGTAACGTTGTCATAGTTAATTTT